AATCTTCAAATCAATACTGTCTGCCCCCTGCTGGTTGTTTGTGCACATGCACATGAACAGAGCGCGGATCGCTGGTGACCCAGTGTGCATGTTCCTCGCTGAGGATGAAAAAACAATCTCCACTCCTCTTTGTTCAACTCTGTACTGTAATTTTGTGCAAAGCTCCCTTTTGCAGTCTAAGTAGTGAATACTTTTCAAATTTGTTTTGATTTCATTGCACAAGTTCTGAAGTGCTGTGTGTTAGCTGGAACCTGTTGAGGCACAATGCAAAGTGCTCTTGGCAGTGCATTCGGTGTTAATTAATCAGTAAAATATCCCAACATGTAGTAGCTAAAGCACTTTGAAGCTTACATGAAACTGGTTGTCTATTTAAAATTTCATGAAAGCTACATCCAGGACCTCACAAGAACCAACCATGTATTTTCCTTAGGAGTGATGGCTTGGTACTTGCTAACTGCAGGCAGAGAACAAAACAACTGTAAAAAGTGACAATTGACTATAATTTGGCAAAATAACTCCAAATTAAGGAAAATTAAAAGAAAGAAATACAACTGAGAGAATCTTTGACAACCGGTCTTTATTTATTTATTTATTTATTTTTGGTTTGTTTAGTAAATGGGGAATAATGAGATAATGAGTACGGATCAAACAATTACTTTAGAAGGAAACAGAAAAATAAGGTCTTGGGAAGAGGGTAAAACTAGCTCACACACTTGGTAATTCCACTGTGAGATAAACAATATGTGGCCGTTACCCTGGATACAAATAGTCTCGGGATAAAAGAGATACTTGCACATTGTCTCAACCTATTTGAGTCTACAATTTGAGAAAAGAGGCAGCAATGGCATTACAACTCACACTGTAAGAATTCTAATGGGTAGAAACGGCAGAATTTGACAGTGGAAAGAGGCTCAGCGATGACGGAGTGAGCTCAAGTGAAAAAGTTTGGATGACTGCAACATCTGAGGACTCCCTGGATTAGCTTCTAGGAAAAGTTTCTTTCTTCATGATAAAACACATTTTCTTGATTGTTTAGCTTCTTGGTAAGGCTCAATTATATAATTGATTTTAATTTATTTTTAAAGATTTTATTTAGTTGAGTGGAAGTTATAGAAACGGGAGGTCAGCGGAGGCGGGGATCTTCTGTCCAGTGCTTTACTTCCTGAGTGAAGGCAAAGACTTGGGCTGGGCCAGAATGAAAGCAGAAGCCTGGAGCACTCTCCCATGTAGTAAAATGGGAGTCCCGTCACTTTGTTTTGTTTTGTTTACAATTAGAAGTATTTATCTGACAAGTGCAAAATAAAATAATGGCCATGAAAGTGTTTTTTTTTTTTCTTTTAAGAGAAAAGTGCTAACAACTTGAAACTGCAGGTTGTTGTGCATGCAGAAGCGTTTCTGCATTTCTCAGACGTCGCGTCCGCAGGACACGGTGCGAGGCTCTCGGTGAAGCCCTGCGCGGCTAGGTGTCCCGAGCTCCAAGTCCAATCTAAAGAGCTTTCAGTCGTGGTGGCTCAACACAGGTGCCCAGATTCAATCCCAACTTATTTCTTATCCTGTAGAAAGCTCTTTTAAAACTGTCTCCTTTCTATTCTCTCTCTCTCTTCCTGTCTCTTCTCTGTTTTCAAAGAAACTAGAATTGTTTTTGCTACCGCGAGTACAGCAGGAAGGCAATGAAGGCTTCTTCTTGAGGACTAAAATGAAAAGTCCTCCGTTTCTTGCAGGCTTTATTTGGCTTCACCCACTTGATTTGAAGGCACAAATTGCTTTTCCACAAATTAACAGTTACTGCATTTTGCTACAATTCAACAACTATTACAGTTTATACTGAGCTTTGAGTATACTGAAAATCTCATCATAAAAAACCCTGTGAGACATTTATATTTTTAAAAACAGCGCTTTCTAGTGAAGCTAGCAAATTTAACCACATAAAAATAAAGACATCTCAGGAGAATCAGCTGTATGGTGAGAGCTACGGTTAAATATGCGCATAATTATCCACATATTTTACACAGTCTGCTCATTTGTTTTAAAGTGCACAGTCCACCTTTGGTGTCGGTTGCAAGTTCAATTTTGTTTTACGTCTCTGCCTTTCTGGCATTTGTTTTTATGGAAATATAGACAGCCATTAACACAGCTTTGTATGTCTTAAAACTGTGTTGTTTTTCATGCAAATAGATGTTTTTAGAATAATTACAGATGGCAAAGTATGCTCCATGGAACGTTTTCTTTATTACAGACTCGTCCTTCTCAGGCCGTTTTGTGTCCACTTCATCATAAGCAGAGAGCGTAGAGGAATTCCAACACTTCGGTTATGACGGCTCTCTTCAAGTGAGAAATGATACATTCATCATGGACAACGTGCTTCAGAACATCGTTTCTGCTTTCTCTGCCCTCCAAGCGACACAGCCCTTCTTCTCGCCCACATAGGAGGCTTCTGCGTGTTAGTGTTGGTGAACTTGGGAGCCTCCATCCAGAGGTGGACGATTTGCCAGAAAGCTGTGTTTAGTTATCACTGAATTCACACCTTGCTGACTAGGGTAACCCCGAGCTGGATGCTGATCATCTGTTTTCCTAGATCTATTTTCCAGTCTTTACATCTTACTCTGCACACACCAAAGCTGATCCATATAACTGTACAGAACAGAATTACGCGTGGTAAGCACTGGCGGATGGGTGTAGAGTGAGGAGACACGGGGACTCGATCCTCCGGTATTTTATCACTGCTTGTGTTGGGTGGGTGTGTTTTCAGCCTTCTGTTTAGCCCTCTACACCTGTTAGCCCTTTGCCAGAGATTTCATCGCTTCAGTTGTATTCACACAGACCCGTAGCTTGTGAATGTAAACTGGTAACTGAAAACACCTGTCAGCCAGGAAGCTGGCCCGCCCAATCAGGATGCCCTGCTGCCGGTTCCCGGGTAACCTGCATCTTGAACAAGTTGGGGACCACAGAACCATCTAGTGTAGCTTATAAGCTTCAATAAGCTTCAGGCCTTCAAATTACTGTAGAAACTGGTGACTTCACCATTTGCCTTTTTCCTCCTGGGAGTCAGTTTGGGAATAAATATGCAAATGCAATGTGTGTTCTTTAAGATTGTTTTTACTTGAAAGAGAAAGGTGTAGGCAAAGACAGAGCGATAGACCTTCCATCCGCTGGATCATTCCCCAAATGGTTGTGACGTCTGAGTAGAACCAATCCAAAGGCAGGCAGCAACGCTTCCCGCCGGTCTCCCATGTGCATTGGCGCAGGGCATCGTGTGCCCACCGATGCTGTCTCAGGCCTTCAGCAGGGAGCTGAAAGCGAAGTGGAAAAGCCCGAATTTAAACCAGGGCCCATGATGCGGGCAGCACAGGTGCAGATCCGCCTTCTACATCAGACTGGCCCCTGTGTGTTTCTTTAATCAGTGATTAGGCTCCCTCTGCACATGGTGGCATAGCAAGCAAAGCTGCTGCTTCTGACGCGAGCGTTCTTATTGGGCAGGGGAGAGGAGGTGACTTTATCCCGTCTACTTTCCACGCAGACCCTGCTGATGGCCTGAGGCAAGCAGCATACATGGCCTAAGCACTAAGGCTTCGACCCCGCATGGGGAAGACGGTGGGAAGCACCAGGCTCCCGGCCCAGTCTCCTCCGAGATTCAAACAAACTCATCCTTGTAAAGCTCAACTTTGTTAACAATCATTACAAGTTTTGCAGGTTTCAATGAGTTATTCTCCCACTTTCAATGCCAGTATTGTGGCACAGTGACTTAAGCAGCCCCGTAAGATACGAAAACCTCCCGGCTCCTGGTTCGGACTGCTTCCTGATGACGCACAGGGGAAAGGAGCGGAAGATGGCCTAAGTGCTTGGGGCTTTGCCACCTACCAGGGAAAACCAGCTGGAGCTTCGGGCTCTTGGCCTTCAACTTGAAATTCAGTTCAGGACACACAAGAATACACCTTCGGGTTTTCTTGATTTTCTTTGTTTATATGTTAGTTGTTTTGAGTAGTCCCAGAACTTTAGGAGAGAGTGCCATTTTTTTTTTTTTCTTTTCTAAATCGTAAAGGCAGATATACAAAGAGAAGGAGAGACAGAGAGGAATATCTTCCATCCAATGGTAGACTCCCCAAGCAGCCAAAACGGCTGAAGCTGAGCCAATCCGAAGTCAGGAGCCAGGATTCTCGTCTGGGTTTCCCACATGGGTGTAGGGTCCCAAGGCTTTGGGCCGTCCTCCACTGCTTTCCCAGGCCACAAGCAGGGAGCTGGATGGGAAGCGGGGCTGCTGGTGCTCACATAGGATCCCGGCGCATTCAAGGCGAGGACATTAGCTGCTAGGCTATTGCGCCGGGCCCACCATCTATTTCTTAATGCCCTGTTCAGTTCACATTGTGTCTCTGTGGAAACGCAGATGTTGGAGCACTGAGACTTCTTCCATCATGGAATTATAATCGTTAACTGAAACCATGAAGAAAATGAGGTCAACAAATACAAACATTTTATTCAAGTCAAAGAATTATTTGTTTGAATAAATGAGACGATAGCCAAATGTGTTCCATACTCAACTGGGGGCTTTTATCCCTCACTCTTAACACTGACGTTTATTTCCTGAATCTAAGCAGGAAAATCGCGGGGCAGACATCTGGCACTATGGTGAAAATGCTGCTTGGGGCATTCAAATATCAACGTGGCCTGAGTCCACAGCAGAGGGGCGATGTGGCTCTGTCTCTTCTTCATCCCGTCTCACTTTCAGGAGGAAAAAATAAATGAATAAAAGCTAAACATTGACTAAGCAAGGATGAGTTTAGAGCTATTGAATTTATTTATGTTATCAGTGTATTGAACACCAACAAGACAAAAGAAATCAAAGGCCTGTAATAGGTAAGGAATAGCTTGTAGCCACAGTAATAGATGTTTTATGTTTCATTTTTTTTGGGGGGGGGAACTTTTTAGAGTTGCATTACAAGTTTTTCAGTTTGGTTTATCCAGAGAATATACTAATCCTGATTAAGACCATTTTTTTTTCTTTTTCAGGTCAGAATCTGGGTTTCATTCTCCATATTGAAGTGGCGGGAGCTGAGCTGAGGGCCCTTGTGGCTCTGGGTCCCAAATCCCACCCACGTGTGGCCAAAGTCAGGTCAATTTCCAACAGATGCTGTGATCAGAGCAGTTTTTAATTAAAATGTTTAGTGTACAGCTCTCAAGCTCTCATTTAAAAAGCTCATTACTATTCTACGAAATCTCTTGTGTGCAATGAAAGATTTTTCTATAAGTTTATTAACTTTCCCTAAAATTAACCCAAAGTTGAAAAAAATGTAAGAGTACATCTTTCCCTTTGGTTGTTCTGATAAGAAAGCCATTATGAGGAAAAAAAAAAAAACGTCATTTCACAGGCTCGGTAGGAAACCTGCCCTTGCAACCACATTTGATCAAGCAAAAGTTAATTCAACAATGACGTTTTTAAAGATTTATTTGCTTTTATTGGAAAGTGAGAAATACAGAGAGGAGAGACAAAGAGGAAGATCTTCTGTCTGTGGATTCACTCCCCAGGGGGCCACAACTGCACCAATCTGAAGCCAGGAGCCAGGAGCTTCTTCCAGGTCTCCCTTGTGATCAATTCTTTCAGGTCTGGAGGAAGGGACATTTTCAGTTTACTGTGTTCCTTAACTTGAGGTTCCTTCCAACGTTTACCAAAGAGCAGTGTGGCAGCTCCAGTCCTCGTCTGACTCTCCCGCCTCCACGTTGGTAAAGAAACTCATAATTACCTTGAGATCGATAAAATAGACCAGAAAAGGAAATAAGTTGCTGTGCAGCCTTAATTTCCATAAACACTAATTTTCCTTTAACTGGTAATTACTGTAGTCACAGACTTCTGAAAAGAAGATATGGGCATCTCTGGGGCATATCTTCAACCAATAAAAAAATGGAATTTGTTTCTCACTTCCAACTCTTTGTATCTGTTGTTCAAGCATTTTTGGATTGACAGCACACAGTCTACTGTGTCCAGAGTTGTGTTTTCAGTTTGATTATACTCAGTGTTTCTTATTTAAAAATTCTTCAGTTATTTTCAAAACTCACAGAAACACTTTTAGATATTTTAATCTTCAATTTGAACACATTGATCAATTTTGGAAGAAGTTGGCTTGGGCTTCATCGTAAAATCCCATGGCAAGTCAGTACCAGATAGGGAGCGATTTTTTATTTCCTGTCTCCCACCCCTCCCTTTTGACTGTAAAATCATGCTGTAAATGTCAAAATCTGCTTTCCACAATTCATTTCTGAAAGTTCCTCTTCTGTACTATTGAAATTTAACAACCAGCGGGCCAAACAATAAAGACAAACCTTATAGGCAAAAATAGCTCTCAAAATAATGGAATTTTGGTATCGACATAATAAAACACCACTCTATCGTAGGAACTCTTTATGATGTTTTTGTAATACTGTATTTCATATTTGGCATTTACGACTTACAACCAGACGAACAAATTTATTTTAAGTCTTGGTCCACATTGAATTTATATGGTTCAATTATGTCTAAAATCAGACATTTTTCTCTAAACACAACTGACAACATAATTTTCACAATCATTTATAAGATCCAGAAGGAGTGCTCTGCAGGAAATGTTTATATGCTAATACTCTGTATGTTCCACAGTTTCTGCGTGTGTGAATGACTGAGGTTAAAGCTATTTTGAACACAGACTTCTCTTTGGCTGCATTGCGTTCAAGAGAGCCAAGATCTACTTTCCTTTGGTGCCCATTAGTTATGCGAGTCATTAAGTTATTAGTTATTTGCTCAGATTTAAATGTAAGAGTTGCGTGTAGTATATAAATACGCTTAAATTGGGGAAAACTCAAAAAGTTAGCTATTTCTTGTTAACGTTATTGACCTGGCTAAAAATGTATGGAATGAGACTCTGACAGATCTGATGACTCGTGTCAAACTGACCACTGATTCTAAGTGTGGCTTTGTATCTTGGGGCTCTGTACCTGGTGGAAGACCCAGAAAAAGCTCCTTGCTCCTGGCTTAAGATCAGCTCAGTTCTGGCCACTGAAGCTACTTGGGGGAGTGAACCAGTGGATGGAAGATCTTTCTCTCTGTCTCTCCTTCTCTTTGTAAATCTGCCTTTCCAATAATATATATATATATATTTATAAATATATATTTAAAGACAATGTCTGTTTTTACCTATTTAAGGAAAGAAGATACTTAATATTCTCGTAAGCACATTCAAAAACTCAAAAAATTAACAATCCGAAAGATTGGAGACAGGCCACTCCCCAACCCATGAAGTGTGAAATCCACGGTGATAAAAAGGGTAAGAAGGAAGGAAGAATAAGAAAATGCAACATTGTGCAGTTCAAGGTTACAAAACCGATCAGGTTTGTTTTTCATGGCTTGATCTCTGGACTATCATGTAGAGATCATGGCAATGCCTGAAGAAATTTGCTGACACCTTTATACATACTGTGAATTAGAGCTATAAAGAAAAATATTCATTTTGTAAGCCTCTGTTTTATTTGCAATTCAATTACTATGTTTTCTTACATTAGAGAATGTATCCAACTAGGCTGTTTGTCTTCATACAAATACCCATTTTATTTTGTTTATGAAATGTGTTCAGAGACATGTTTGTTCTCATTATTTTTTCAGCAGTCTCTTTCACTTGCTATAAATTACTAACTGCACATTATATTTATTCATAAAATTCCTGTTTTGTTCTGATATCATATGGCTCCCTTGCAAGTATAACAAATTATGTTTTACAATTCTCTAAATCACAGCTTGTCTCGCAAGAAAGTCAGCATTGCTGTTCTTGGAGATCCTTTGGCTCATATTCCTGAGGGAATTTTCAACTCAATGATTGGTCGTTTGCCTTAGAAATCACCTAGAATGTTTCATCACACAGATAATCGAGCGTTGAATCTAACCACTTGTAGCAATAACCACACGGTGTGATATCCCTGCCTCCCAAATATGATAAAAGCCAAAATCCAAAGAAGCGTTTGCTACTCAACGACGTTTCACTGGAAGTGTCGACCAGGAGGAATTAAGGAGAAGAGCAAGGGAGAAATGACGGCACTCAGCTGCACGTGCTTTCCATACTACTTCTTTGTACTGAATATGCTTGATCTTTTGATGAAAATTTAAAAGAGCTGAATTTTTTTCCCTCCTCCTTCTAGCATGTTCTACTCTTAGGTCCTTGGCTGATTCTAAGGCCCAAGTGATTCTAATCTCAGTTCACCCTCAATGATGAAGTGTTTCATAAATGATACGACTCAACCTCTGCTGTCTCAGAAGACAAAATTCAGTCAAAATTTATAAGAAGCAATGAAGGACTATTTTGATTATTCATTATTTTAATTACAGGGTGGAAAACCTACTCTGGCTGGAGGGAATCGTTGCAAAGATGGATAGGAGCCTAGTTAGGCTCAGACGGGGAAGGCTCTGTGGCTCATTCCACTCGTAGGTCCTTCTCTCCTGGGGACGGCCTTGAATTTCTTTCCTCCTGTTTGAATTTTAGTTTAAGTGTCTGTATTCCCTCAGGTAATTTTATATACACATAAAAAGTGGGTAAAATAGCTGAAGTTGTCAGAGAGCAACATTACAGCAATCTCTAAACAATGTGTAACAACAATAACAACAAAAAAAGTTTTTTAGATCTGACTTATATTGTCTTAATTACTTAATTCGCAGGACTAAGTGCAATCTTCTTCACATTTCACTGATTACTCTTTTTGGCATTTATCTTTGAAATTGGAGTAGGGCTTATTTGAATGTCACTGCGCTAAGGCAGAGAGATAGAAAGTATTTTCTGAAGGGGAAATAAAATAGGGAAAATTGAGCATTAAATCTAAAGTTTAGGCGTTGCCATAGTAACACCAACACCACAGCTCTGAATGTGCTTGTGAAAGAAAGGCCGGGGCATCCAAAAAATGAAAAGGAAAAACCACACAGGAGAGAAAGGAGGAGAACAGACTGGCTGAGTCTGAATGTGAGATCCTTGTTTTATTTTTTAAGAGTTTTTTTTTTTTTTAATTTGAAAGACATTCTACTGAGATAAAAGGACAGCCATAAGGAGAAAGTTTTGCTGATTTCCAAACTGCTGTAATGCCCAGAGCTAGGCTGGCCCCAAGGCAGGACTAGGATTTTCCTCTGGGTCCCCTCACATGGATTCAGGGACACACGGATTTGAGCCATCCTTGGCAATGTTTCCTGATCATAAGCAGATGCTGGATCAGAAGCAGGGAAGTCTGGAATCAAACCAGCGTCCACATGTGAAGCCTGTACTACAGGCAGAGGACTAGCCTGAAATGCCACTGCATAGGCCCCCAAATACATTAGTTATAAATCCACATAAAATTATCAATTTTCTCTTGAAATCTGCCCTATCTTAAAAGCATCTTCCTCTTAAGCTTCTTACCATTTATTACTCACGAAATGTTTTCTCTAGGTTACTCATCCAAAAGCATTATTGTATTTTTAATTTATTCATAACTACTGTTAATTTCTATGTATTTGTTTAATGATTACACGAGACAAAGGAGAATCCTGACTAATACAGACACTAAATATGTGATTTCACCATTAGATCATCAGTTTAAATAAAAAATTAGGCATACAGTACACAATACAGTGTAATCACCTTAGTGACTCAGCATCTGCTGGAAGCTTCTGTTACTGTGGGGACTTTCCCTCTTTGCGATGAGGATGGTACTGGGCTGTCTGCTGATGTGTACCTGTTCTGTGCATTTGCATGTTAATGATGTGTGGGAATTAAGGAATCAGAATGTGGAGGCAGCAGCAGTGACATTGCTGTGAGATGTTGAGTGACATTCACATGGACCATAAGCCTTTGCAATCAGCTCTAGCATTTTCTTCTTCCCATATCCAATTCAGACCTGACTTAATCCTAATATCTTCAAGTCAAACGTACCTCAAGAATTTCACGTCTGTTACCACTTTCTGAGTTGAACGTCAATTCTTTATAATGACACAACTTACGCTGCATGGTTGGAGAGAGACTAAACTCAATGTGGACTGATTGCCTCATGCTAGAATGTCCGACTCCTGCAGCAAGGAATGATGTGCATAACGGACACTGCTTTCACTGGCCAAACAGGATGTAGAAACGAGGTGGATGACATCAGA